GCCCTGCCATATTGACTGAAGGAGGTAAGTCTTGATACTGTTTGATGATATCGCCAGCCGATGCAAAGTTGACAAACGCATGGATTCCCAACAAGCACAGAGATCTTTGTAATGATATCATGCCTTCTCATGCCTGGCAACATTCATAAAAGTCCACCCAAGGAAGAGTAGCACCCTTAACATCTTTGCACCAAAGGTCATGCACTGAAGGAAAGTGATGGAAGATGTGAATACATCTTGATAATTCCATACGAATCCGGGAAACGCACAGCACAAATGTTGCTATGGTGCTTTACTCTTGCACTTGTCTGTGCAATAGAAAATGCTGCACATTTCCATAATGCCATTTGGTGCCTCGACCTTGTCTTTGTCGGAAGCGCCAGCTTCCATCTTCCGCAATTGTGCCCGAAGGTCTTCCTGTAGGCACAACATCACTCGAAGGTTGAGATCTGTTGGGATAGGACTGTACTAATGTGATGTGACCGAGTCTGAACCTCCTTAGAATTTCCGCTCTGACACTAATCTCTCTAGCCATATGAAGCTTCTTCTCAAATGAAAACGGCTCATCCAGAAAGACCTATGGAAAAGCAATTCGTCTCAGCATAGCCAAGAAACCGCCACGGTTTCATGGTCGGAAGCGCCGGCTTCCATCTTCTGAAGCTGGACACGTAGGTCTTCCTGCATACAAAATTGCACTTACTTATACTCTTAGGATCTCTTAGGTCGTCCTCTGACTCTGGCAATCTGACATGTTTGTGGAAATGCCGTGGAATCTACATTGGTGGATGGTCGATGATGACTGATATAATATGATATAATCGCCTCTTGAAAACGGGGCCCTTCCGCTGTCATTTTTGATTACCAAAACGTGCTGGCCCTGCCATGTTGACTGATGAGGTAAGTTTTGATACTGTTTAATGATATCGCCAGCCGATGCAAAGTTGACAAACGCATGGATTCCCAACAAGCACAGACATCTTTGTAATGATATCATGCCTTATCATGCCTGGCAAAATTCATTAAAGTCCACCCAAGGAAGAGTAGCACCCTTAACATCTTTGCACCAAAGGTCATGCACTGAAGGAAAAGGATGGAAAATGTGAGTACATCTTGATAATTCTATACGAATCCGGGAAACGCACAGCACAAATATTGCTGTGGTGCGTTTCCTCTTCTCGCACTTGTCTGTGCAATAGAAAATGCTGCACATGTCCATAATGCCATTTGGTGCCTCGACCTTGTCTTTGTCGGAAGCGCCAGCTTCCATCTTCCGCAATTGTGCCCGAAGGTCTTCCTGTAGGCACAACATCACTCGAAGGTTGAGATCTGTTGGGATAGGACTGTACTAATGTGATGTGACCTCTTCTGAACCTCCTTAGAATTTCCGCTCTGACACTAATCTCTCTAGCCATAGGAAGCTTCTTCTCAAATGAAAACGGCTCATCCAGAAAGACCTATGGAAAAGCTATTCATCTCAGCATAGCCAAGAAACCGCCACGGTTTCATGATCGGAAGCGCCGGCTTCCATCTTCCGAAGCTGGGCACGCAGGTCTTCCTGCGCTTTAAGAGGGACTGGTAGATCTTTCTGGTTCAAGTTCGATTTCCCTTCAGGTTCCATCACTGCTTAAACATGCTGTCACACCTCATGATCATCATGCTGTCCAATCAGGTCATCTTCTTGTTTGGAGGTCCACTTAATTTCTTCACCCCGAAAAAGCTGGTATTTGAAATAAACCTCAATCTAGAAACAAGCAGTGACCATCATTGAAGGTCTTCCTGTATCCAACATAAAAATGATGCAGGTGCTGCAGGCAGTACAACACCCTTTTGTCATCAAGACCTTGGACGACCTGAAAAAAAGTGAACTCTACAGCCATTTACAGCCTATATCCCATAGGATCCATGTATGCTATATATGGTAACATTTACCATCAATATACCCCAGTCATGTTAGCATATATACCATACATGGATCCTATGGATATTAATGATGTATATTAGTCACTTGATGTCACTTTACTACATCAACTCATCATGAGTTACCACATGAAAAACCACCAGAATCCCGCGTTTCTTTGGCTGGAAAAAAGAAACTATTGGAAATACCACCAGTGAATTTTCGGTTGAATCCCCCATCAATAGCTATCTGGGGCAGCTACAATCGCCGAAGAAAACCGCGAAACTCTTCCGCGATTTTTCAACGGTGTCAATCGCGGCCTTTGTCGTATGCGACACGAGTTTGTGCAGAGAATCGTCAAAGTCAAAACATTGCTACATATCACAGTATTTAGAGGCATGGCGTGAGCCAGGCCCTACTCAGGCGGGTTTAACAATCGCGGATCAACCGCGAACCAATCGCCGATTTCATCGACATTTTTGGAAAATTGAATTGATCTGGGTTGTTAGACTTTGAACTTGTTGTTCTGATTCTTCTTTGCTATTGGCTATCACTATTGAACACAGTGTCTAGGCCGACCCGAATACAGTATAAGGCTGAAATGAAGCCATGCCATTAAAATAATATACTATTGATTTCTCCTCTTACAGACTCGATTCTTATACAACTAATGGTTGTCTCAATTGCAGACCAATCGCCGATCAATCGCGACGCAGAGCTTTACAATCGCGGATGCTGAAAGACACATGCCCTTTCACAATTCTTAGACTTGCGTTTGCGATCGGCTCCCATGTGAACCCATCAATAAGGGCTATTGTTGATGGCTCAAGGCTCAAGGGGTCCTTTTTTTTGAGGCCTGAAAGTGAATCGGCGTCTCTGAAAATGGGTCCATTTTTCCGCTGGATAGTTTATCATGTTCTCATTCAACAGCCATTTGGATGTTTCCTAAGTCATGGGGGTATCCCCAAATCATCCATTTGATTTTGGGATTTTCAATTACAAACCATTTGGAGGTTTCCTGAAATGGGGGCACCCCCAAATCATCCAAAATTAGACCATTTTAGTAATGAAACCTATGGTGACTTGGGGATCCCCTATTTTAGGAAAGCTCCACTTGGGAAGTACCCTCTGGTTATTTAACATAGCCATGGGAAAATGGCCCATTTATAGATGGTTTACCTATTAAAAATGGTGATTTTCCATGGCTATGTTAGTCATAACCAGATGGTATAACCAAATGTTCAAACATACCCTTAAGTGACCTGGACTTCGCACTGGTCTCCAACAACTTGGGTCAAGCCAGAAGGGCGACCTCCATTCTCAATGAGGGATGATGTGCGTGGAAAAACTATTATATATACATACAAAATAATAATGAAAATAATAGTAATAATAATGTTGTACTAGTACTAGTACTAGTACTAGTACTAGTACTAGTACTAGTACTACTACTACTACTACTATTACTACTACTACTACTACTGCGAGGACGACGACGAGGACGACCACGACCACCACAACAACAACAACACCAACAGCAACAGCAACAACAACAACAACACCAAAAACAACACCAACACCAACACCAACACCAACACAACAATCACGGATACTCTGGAAAGAAAAAAACACATTTAGTTTACTTTTGCTGCCCATAACACCTTTGATGTAAGCATGCCATTGGCCCTAGACCCGGCTGTGTGTAATTACAAGGTACATGAAGAAACTAGGTTCCCATTGGGCTTATATAATTACCCATATAGTTGGGAAATAGTTCAACCCATCCAAAGGATTCCAAAATATCTCAAATATCTATGGATACTGTATCCCATGATACCCTCTGGTAAACAGCCACATAACTATGGAAAATCACCCATTTTTTATGGGAAAATT